GCTCAATAGTTGGCTACGTGTTCTTTACTTGCTAATCTAAGTGATAGCAGAAAAATAAGTGCTAGCCACCTGAGATTATAGATGTAGCCCAGCATGCTGGTATACACCTATCATCTCAGCAGTCTAGCTGAGGCAGGTGGATTGCCATGAATTCAAGGCCAGCCTGAGATTCTGTCTCAAAAGAAAAGCTGGTTTATAGCCAGAGACACCCTAATCTCTTTTTTTTGTTTGTTTGTTTCTCTTAACTGTAGCAAAGTTTTATTAAAACTAAGAAATGAAACAGGCTCTGCAGAGAGAATAAAAGAGAACAAGTATGCCCTACAGTGTGAGGGGCCACCATGGATAGAGAACACAGTTGCAAAATCTCAATAGTGACTCTTGTTTTTTTATCCCGCACTCCTTAGGCTGATGTCAGATCTGGGCCAACCATAGAAAACCTGCGGCAGTTCTCACAAGAAGTCTACCTGCAGGACTTTGGGAACTGCATATGTCCAGAATCTTGTGATTGACAGATCACACGTGCTTTCCTGGCCAGTTCTGCCTTGTTCTAATCTCCTCTTCATTTCCCCTGAGGGATAGAAATCCTCATAATTCCTTATGGGTTGCTGAGGGAATGGAGGCCTCTTGTCTTCAGTAGCGTCTTCTGGTTGGAAGGTGCTGTAGCCCCTACCCAGTGGGGATCATGTGCACTCCAGTGCCCATAGGATGTTGTGGCTTGTTTGCTGGGTCAAAGGGAAAAACCTGTCCAAAAACCATAAGAAAAGAAAACAATAAGAAAGAATCAGTGACCTTTGAGTTGTCTGCCTGATGGGAGAAAGAAAGAGAAATCTTATCATTAGCCCACAGATGAGAAGCAAGTCAGATTTCCCACTTCTCATGGAGGACAAAGTATGGCAGAAAGAGAAGTTAGATAGATTATTGAGAGCCTGAGAGCCATAACCTTAGCAAGATCTAATTAAAAACAGAGCCTATAAAAATATAGGTCCCATTTAAGCTATGATGAATTAGGGTCATTAGTGATTGTACTTATCTGTACCCTGAGCTACACCAGAGTTTTGATTTCTGAAGAAGAGCCTTGGGTCTTCCAGGGGCTCTAAGGGAAGCTTACTTCTTCGTCCTTTAAAGATTCTAGCTGCCATTTCCCATGTAGGATTTTTACAGCTTGTCACTGCGTTCCTTGAAGGACCAGAATGGTCACTCGGTAACTGGGAGTAAGGATACAGTCTTAAAGGGCTGTAGGACTCCCTCGTTGCCTTGCTGCCAGTCTGTTGATTTCCCAAGGCGATTTCAGACATGTTCTTTGGCATCCCTTACAGTACATGAGTGCAGCCTGCTTTGGAGGCGGACAGGCTCTAGGAACTGGACGATTTCCTGCTTTCGTTTCATAGCTGATTGCTTGTCAGTCAGCCAACTCCTTCTTTCCAGCTGCATGAGCATGTAGTACCAGAAGGACATATTTGGGGTCTTTATAGATCAGTAATGGATAGCTTCTCCACCACTGGTATAGATGTATAGCCTAGTATCAATGCCTGAGTAAACGCTATGAGCTCTGCTTTTTGAGCAGAGATCCCTGGGAGAAGTTGGCCTCAGTGGTCTGTTGTGAACCAAAAACTGCATAACCTGTCTTTTGATGACCTTGGACAAAGCCACTCGCATCAGTGAACCACACCTCCTCGGGGATAGGGTACTGATGTCCTGCCTACTGACATAGGTCTGAGAGATTACTTATTTACAAGAATGGCAAACTTCTGGGCCTGTATCAAAGAGGCATGGTTAGCAATAGCGCTAGCTAGCTTTAGGGTTGTCTTAAGAGCCTGGCCTCATATTTGGCAAGCTGCCCTTCTGTTAACCACAAGTAATCTTTGGTCTGAAGAATTACTCTGACCTAATAAGGAGTCAAAACTTCTAGTTTCTGCCCTAAAGTTAGTTTTGCAGCTTCCTCTATTAGTGTAGCTATAGTGACAACTGCCCTCAGGCAAGGTGGCCCTCCTGCAGCGACTCCAACTTTTTGAAAAGTATGCCACTAGGCAAGCTCTGGTCTCTTTCTTTGCTGAGAGTTACCTTTTTAGAATTGTCTGTAGAGCTGGAATTTGTCAGTTCGTGGAAGCTTCCATAGAATGAGTATTTGTTTAATCAGATGTCAGTTTTCTTTATAGGTCTCTGAGAGCATAGACTTACATCTTATTATACCTTTGTACAGGAAAAACTCACTGTAGCTTGAGCTTGTTCATAAATCAAGGCCGAAACCTTTACCTTTCATTCAGTAAATCTGTCTTGGCATTCTAGCATCTGACATTAGCTCTTGAACCTGACCAAAATAAAACACAATGGAAGAAATCAGTCAAGCCCCAAATCCTTTGTGTTGTAACTCTGCTCCAGAGTTTGCTGTGTACTTCCCCATTGCTTGTCAGTCAGCCAACTCCTTCTTTCCAGCTGCATGAGCATGTGGTACCAGAAGGACATATTTGGGGTCTTTATAGATCAGTAATGGATAGCTTCTCCACCACTGGTATAGATATATAGCCTAATATCAGTGCCTGAGTAAACGCTATGAGCTCTGCTTTTTGAGCAGAGATCCCTGGGAGAAGTTGGCAGCTGGCATAGTGCCCTCCTCTGGGTACCTGTTTTGCTGAGTTGACTTGGGTCTGGTCAGCTCTGGCCCTTTGCTAACACCAGCACTTCTGGATTGATGCTGCTCAGGCCATCTCTTCTTCTTGAGTGGGTATTAGCCCACCCCAGGCTTCCTGCCTTTATGTTGGGCTTTACCATCTTTTCCAAAGGAGCCTGTTCTCAGCCCATGCAGTAATTCAAGTGTGAATTTCAGCTATCAGCGTGCCACAGCCAGGCCGAGACTCCTCAGGACAGTTAGGATGATCCCAGTCATTTCCTGATATGTAAAGCAGCTGCTCAGATGTAGGACCTCAGTGTCTCACATTTCTGTCCCCCATCTTCCAGACACTCCGGAGCTCTCTGTTCTTAGCTACATCAGGAATTCTTATAGAATTTACTAGTTTGGATTCAAAACTGTCAAGTCCACTGTATAAATTAAACAGGTAACTTAATTCTATTTAGTGTATTTTGCCTCCTGGACTTGTCAGCCCACCTCTTACGACCCCAGAATGGAGGGCTCGCTGATGTTCTGCAAGTCCACAGAGTGAGAGGCTGGCTGTACGAAACACTGTTTTCTGAGTTAGTCATATGTGGAAGCGCCATTAGGCTGGAGATCTTTGCTGTCATCTTCCATTGAGCTCCATATTTCATTTATGTTTTCATTCTTTGTATTAAAAGCCTTTCTGTAAATAAATGGGAGTGATTTTCTGATGTAGGACCTTCTGTTACTAGATTAGAGCATTTGGGACCATTTCCATATAAGACAGATAGTTCTATAACACATTTTATATCTAACCTATCATAATACCAACCAGGTTAACTACTATAGTATTTGAAATATAGCATTTGAAATAACCTTTATGTTAATATTGTTCTTACTATTTTTATTTAAGTTTATTCATACAGTTTAGATAGACATAATGATCACATTCATCCCAGGGAATCTGTACCTGTACATGGTCTATCTTGATTCCTCTTCTTTCCCCCATTGCCTTCCCTTCCTTTAACCCCTCTTCCTCTCCTTGTTTACAAAGCTTTGTTTCCATTTTCTTTTTCTTTTCTCATTTTTTTCTTTTTCTTTTCCTTCCTTTCTCCCAACCCCCTCTATAGTTCCCCTTTCCTTTTGAACAATTTCTTCCTGTTTTACAATATCTATTATATATTCTGATTCTTATTTCTACTTTCAGTTTCTCACACCAGAGAGACAATGCAATATTTACACATGTGTGTCCTTTTGGGGCAGGAATACTGTTGGTGGGATGTAGACTGGGGCGACCACTGGAGAGATTCCTCAAAAAACTAGGAGTAGAGGGCTCATTCCACACAGCTATTCTTCTTGATATTTTCCCAGAAGAAGTAAAAGCATCATACCACATGACATATGCACACCTGCGTTCATAGCCACACAGTTTGTAATAGCTAAATCTTGGAAATAACCCAAATGCTCATCAACCCAGAAATAGGTAAGGAAAATAATGTGAGGGGTTTTTTATACAATGGAATACTACTCAGCTGTAAAGAAGTATAAACTCAAGACATTTCTAGGTAAATGGATTCACTTTGAGACCATACTCTTTAAGTGAAATAAATCAGACACACGTTAGTTTTTACAGTACTAAAAACCAATATTTGTGTGTAGATGTGTGTGTGTCTCTGTCTGTGTGTGTGTTACTGGGCATTGAAGTTTGGACGTTCACACTGAGTTATATCCCCAGCTGTATTTTATTTTTTTATTCTGAGACAGGGTCTTACAGAGTCACTAAGATGCCTAGGCTGACTTATATTTGCAATCTTTCTGCCTCAGCCTCTCAGAGCGCTTGGATTACAGGGATTACAGGCATGACCACCATATCTATGTTGAAAACAAATCTTTTATCTAAGTGTTAAATCCTTTCTAAAATATTTATTTGCTTCAGTTGATTTTTAGAAATCTCTCTGGATGTATCCTGGTAATATTTTTTTTCTCCTGTTTTGGAACACTGTAACTGAGTAAGAACAAACCCCATTATAACTCAGAACTGAATTACAGCCAAATTTAAATTATTTGTGCTTTGGAAAAGAGAACTGGCAAGGATAAATGGTCCGTGGCTTGTATATTGTAAGATAATTGTAACCATGGCAGTGTTTGCTTTCTAATGTTATGTGTTGCTGCATTTTAGTGATGAGGTCGATCATAGATAAAAAGCACATTTGTATGTTTCTAGTTAAATTTAAATCATTCCAACATCATTATTCCAACATTAGAAGTAGTCATTTCCTGTGGAATTGCTGGTTTGGTAATTTGCTTTATCTCATGTGGAAGTGATTTCTTGTGTGGGTTAGTTGTATCTCTAAATAATGTAAGTTTTGAGGAAAACGTACCCTGACAGTGATGTCTCCTAAAAATCCAGATAAAGGCGTATGAGAAGCTTGACAATGAGGAAGACCGCCTGTGCAGAAGCCGGCAGATTTACGACGCCTACATCATGAAGGAGCTTCTCTCCTGCTCGCACGTAAATATCACTGCTTCTTCTGTTACTTTCCTGGGGCAGCTCCCAGCCCGCTTTCAGCATTCGCAGAATGAATGGAAAATGGTACGGAGATGTTTGAGGGTTTTTAAAGTGCATCTTTAGGGCAAAACCTATTTCTTTTCTTTTTTTTGTCATTTTGTTTTTCTGATACACTGTATCTCTTACGTCACAGTGGCTTAGTCTGTTTTCAAACTCTGACATTTTTCTTGCAAAAAATTGGTGAAGTTGTTCATTTGGATCCACTGGAAAAAAAAACTCAATTCTAGATTTTTTCAAAGGACTTTAAGGTTTATTATTTTAATATAGTTATGCTTTAACAATTAAGTTAATCAAATATTGACAGATATAAATCTTAAATGGTTTTTAATTAATAAGGATTATAATTACTATGTAATTTTATTCATCAAATTAAATAATAGTTGAAATAATTGTTTTCCTTGTAAATCAGATAAAGAGTCTAATTTGACTACTGGTCAGACCCAACTGTTAGAAAGTTATTTCACCACCAATAAGTAGAATAATTAGTAATGAACATTTACCATGTAAAAGTGTGTACATTAACACTGTATTTGATAGAAATAGACTGCAGTCCTGGCCTTCGCTGTCAAGTAATTAGCCACGAGTCACCAGCGGCTATTTGAAATTGTTTAAATTAATTAAACCAATGAGGTTATACTTACACTTCCTCCATGCTTCCTAAGCCACATGTGACTCGAGTGCTCCTCAGCCCCAGGTGACCAGTGGCTTCCGTATGAGATGGCTCAGGAGCACAGCATTTCCACCGTGGCAGAAAGGTCCCAACAGTAGTGCGCTGCAGTGCTTCTGCCCAGGGTGGTGGTGACCGTTCCTCCTGCCACTAGTAGCTAACGATGACACTTCAGGCAGTTGCGTTGTTTCGCTGTTCTTTGGACACGTGTTCCTCATGCAGAAGGAAGTTCTGAGCTGGAGCTAATTGTTGGTCACAGGATCTCCCTGCCATGCTGAGAAGGACTGAGTGCATGGAGAAGGTTAGATGCTCACGGCAACCACAGGGTCTGGGGCAGTATGATACGGCTTTTAAAGCTGTTCTTAGCCAGGCATGGTGGCGCACGCTAGTAATCCCAGCACTCAGGAGGCTGAGGCAGGAGGATCACGGCAAGTTTGTAATTCACATCTCTGAAAGTTCCATCCTGCTTGCTTTAGTTCCACCCTGCCAAAGCGGTAGCAGTGCTTTCTTGAATCCAGAACCTTTAACTGCTGTGGCTTGACTTTGTAAGCCTGCCATGTAATTCTTAGGCACATACTCTTGCATTCGTTTTATCTGTTATAGGAGACATTTTACATTTTTAGAACTTTTATCAGCCAGTGGAGGAATGTGTGCAGTAGGTGGTGGTAGAGTTGTTCACCCTTTATCGCCACAGTAACTTCAACCTCATACGGGATTAGATGTGTCGGACAGGCCCTGTTGTGCTGCTGTCACTGGGCATGTGACTGAGAACTCCAGACATCCAGATGGCTAACCACATTTGATTTCTCTACATATGGATCACAGATCTTAAAGAATGTGTGCTCATATAATTACTAATGGTTGCCATTTAGTAATTGTATTAAATTGCCATTATAATTCTATGTCATGTTCAGAGGTTTCTTACGTTTTTGCTGTTATTTAAAAAAACATGTCTTTGATTTTTGAAAGCCATTCTCAAAGCAAGCTGTAGAACATGTACAAAGTCACCTGTCCAAGAAGCAAGTGACGTCAACTCTTTTTCAGGTAGGGTAAAATTATCTCAAAATAAACAGATAACTTTCTTACTGTGGGGATTTGGTGACATTCTTTCTTTGGGTACACATACAGTAGAAGAATTTCTTTGTAAGGCTATTCTCACTGGAACGCCTGAAGCTTCATATGGCTTCCATTGAAATGTGTCATTTGTGTCCATTGAAAAGTATTCACCTTTTCAAACTCAGGCTTTACCGAAGATGAATCGCTAGAGTTTTCCAGTAATGTCATGTGCTAACAATCAAGATAAGATATTGAAGAAGAAAGCTTTTGCTTGTTTGACACTTTAATACCTGTGATGACCAGAAACCTTAAAAGATTTATTTTGTAGTATCAAGGTATTTGTACTTGCAGTGATTTTCCAGTATCAAGAGTAAATACTTGAGACCCACCTGAGGAAGTATATTTAACCTTGACCATTTTTATCTTGAGTATAATATAATTGTACCGGTTCAAGCAACAAGACTTAGCTAAATGTACAACTAATAAGCCCAGGCATTTGCTACTGTTTAGGTCAGACGGGTTCTCCTGTTTATCAGAGCCTTTTGCATCCTGTGTTTTCTGTAAAGGAGCAGTAGTATTTACAAAGACTTATTCTCCAATAAATACTGTACATTGTATGTTTCTTAGAAGTGAAGGAACATCACTGAGTAGTGTAATGATTTTCATAAATGAAAACAATCAATTTTTTCTTTTTTGGATCATTCATTTGCATTCAGTTGAGTTTTGATGGCTTATGACAGTACTTATGTAAAATGAAGTTCACCATTCTACAGAGAAAGTAACATTTTAACTCTTAGAACATTTGGACAGTAGTAAGTTGTGTGTCATTCTTGTCCAAACAACTACGTAGACTTTTCATAAAATGTAGAACCTGTCTGCAGAGGCCAGCGGGTTCTAAGCTCCATCTCTGAAGTGAGCTGGCCTGAAGCTGTTCCTGCCTCGGTTTCCCAACTCCCTCTTCTCACCTGCAGAGGGGAGGTGCCAGAGCCTCTCCTCAGGGGTGCTGAGATCCAGTGAGCAGAATGAACAAGGGCTGCTTTGCCCTGGGCCTGCCCACCCGAATGCTCCCCAAATGTTGGTTGTTACTGAGTATCTTGCAGTCAAAAAGTTTTGAGTATCTGCTTTTTTGTCTCCATATCTATTTCTCCATCAGAATTTCATTTTTCAACTGACTTTGCCAACGCACACTCATAGCCCTACAGTCAACCACATCTAACATTGTGGAACCGTACCGTACAAGCTTATGGGTATATTAGTTTCCATTGTCTTTGTAAGTAAATAGAGGTTTATTTAGCCAGTTTGGAGGCAGAGTCTAAGATCAAGTGGCTTCAGAGTTCAGCTCTGAAGAGGGTCCGTTTGAGCATGTCACACAGAGGTGTGTGGCATCACAGCAGGATCACATGCAGGAGCGAGAAGTCACCTGGAGAGACAGGAAGCCACAGAGATAAGGGAGGGACCAAGCTTGTTCTTTTCATAGAAACAACTCTGGAGAATTAACCAGAGTCCCAGAAGAACTCACCCACCCCTTCTGGGGTAGCACCTGTGGTGACCTCATCTTCTGCACTGTGTTCCGCCTCTTCAGGGTCTCCCCACATTGCCACATGTCCAGGCAAATTGCCAACTCGTGAGCCCTTGGGGGGACACTCTACCCATATCTGAACTGTAGAATGTGGGGTTTTATTCAGATTTGTACTTTTCCTGTAACGTAAATGACACTGAAACAAGATTTTTCCAGGTGAGATAGAAAAGGCACTAAAGTTCTTCTTACACCTTCACAGGAAGCATTCATGTAGAATGCCTTTTATTTAGATGCCTTTAAAAAATACTTTACCAATTTGTTTTGATCCTTAAAAAGTTAGTGGAAATAGTTCAGTGAAATTGATAAAGGAAGGGTAGTATTCTATTCCAAAGGAGAAGGTAGTAAATTTATTAAAATGACTGTGTTGGTGCAATTTAACTGTAACATCAGAGCACAGTGATTAAAATACAAACATTTTATGTTTGATTATCCTGTTTATAGAGATACATTAACCAATAAAGTCATTTGAAGTTCATAGTAATAAAAATGCTCCCCAGATAAACTAAAACTTTTTATTAAATTCATTTGGTGTGAGCACAACTTTAGAGATAAGTGTTTGCATAGGTACACTTGGTAATGGGAGCTAGAAAAGGTCCTGGCTCTTGTTTGGAGGCCTAAAACTGTAATGTTCATATTTTAATTCTTAAGATATCCTTCCAGTGAGATCTAGCTTATCTGTCTCCGCCTCCTCTCTTTGTGGTACTGACCATTCAACTCTAACCCTAGCCCTTCATAAAAAAATTTTGAGTCTTTGGGTCTCCCTCAGTTGCCAGGTTGCCAGGCTGGGCTTCACTTGGTGGTCCCCCTTCCTCAGCCTCCTGGAGTGCTTGGGTTTATAGACATGTACCACCATTCCTGGCTTTCCTTCTTACAGATTAAGAGGATGGAGGACCCAAGAGAGGAGCAGGTGCTCCTAATCCCATGCTGCCTCTTGCACTGCTCTTGCCCTGCTCCTAGGGACACTGGCAGTCCCTTCTGCTGAAGCAGTGCAGTGAGCTGGTGGAGAATTCCTAAAGACTATTGTCTTTTTGGTCTTTAGCAGACAATATGGGATGTTTGACAAAATACAAAAGAAAAATACTAATTGTTATAATTGTTTTTATAAATAGAAAGTCTGTGCTATATAAGTTTAGCATTTTTATAGATCTTGAAGCAGTTGATCTGCTTTGTTTCTTGAAGTCTACAGAGCTGCAGAGAGCTTTTGAGAGCTGCAGAGGACTTGGCCAGGATGCATATAGTATGTTGCCATGGAATTCTAGTGATTCAGAGCTGGAAAGAATTTCATAGAATTCAGCTTCCCTTTTTACCAAAAAGGGAGCCAATTCCATGTGGCCGCAGGGATCAGTCCCAGAGCCTTCTCCAGACAGCAGTAGCCCTGTGGCGGGGAGGGAGCAGAGGTTAGTGTGCTCCCAGGGAGTCTCCTTTCCATCCAAGTCTCCTCTCTTCATCAGGAAATGGGATTCCCCAGGGTCTGGTCTTTCTGGTTCTGTAGAGTCACCTCTCACTGCTGTGGACCATGCCATGATTGGTTGTTCTTTTTGTAAGCATTCAGGATGTTCCATAAAGTCACTAAACAATGCTAAATTTTGCATTGTTCGACAAACTTACGTTGTCGAGGTGTTGACTCTCAAATGAACTGTAAAAACAATGCCATACTTGATCATTTTGTTGTTCCTAACTCAGAGCTGCCCACCTGAGACAGTTTATGCCGACTGTTTGGTAATGGATAAAGAAACCATCACAGAACTGCGGTGGATTGTAGGTGCTCTGGGGAGGACAGTACATGAGTCGGGAGCCTCTGGCTTCATCCCTGTTAGCCATGAGCCCGTTCAAGGATCTTGGGGATGCACCTGCCCTTAGTCAAAGAGCCTCCTTCTCTGCAAGAAGCAGAGTGGGATTAACTCTCCTTTAGCTCTAGGATTCTGAGGTGGAAAGTCAGTGAGTAAGACAGTCAGTTAAAATAGCTATGGATCTGTCTGCTTTGATTTTTCAAAACTCAGTATGAATATAGATTACAAATGCTTTTAGTGGCTTAGAACTCACAAGGCCCAGTACAAAATGAAAATACGGGGCCCATTTTCAAAATTATTGAAAATTTTGAGATAGTGAGAGGAGCAGTAAACACAGTGGCAGGATCTTCAGAGTTGCACACCCATGAAGCTGGCCCTGACCACTTACGAAGTGTCTGCGATTTGCCAGGAGCCATATTGGGCAGCAGGTCTGTGGTACAGCCCTGCCACTGTCTTTGTGGACCTAGTAGTGGAGAGAGCTATGAAATAGATAGTCCCTTGATGATGATTCTCTTAGTGAAAACTGGACAGGCACCAACAGAGTCAAGGACATGGTGCCCTGGGAGTGCATCTCCATGAACCTCACCTGGGCTGAGTCACATAAGTTTGTATGTTTCACTTTAATGTAATCATGTTTACAGTGTGGGATTTCTTTTCCATCCTTTCCAGCCATACATAGAAGAAATTTGTGACAGTCTTCGAGGCAACATTTTCCAAAAGTTTATGGAAAGGTATGCAATTCTATGCATATATTGGCCATGATTTATGTGTCAGCCTTTATGTTAGATTGTTTTGTCTATACTTCATAATTTAGGATTTTTATAGCTTTGAATCCCTTTGACCTTTAGCCCTTCACCTCCAATTGATCTCAAATTTGAATAGACAAGGAGACCTCAGTTTTAAATTACCTTATTGGGAAAATTTTACTAATGCGAGTACGGGTATAATTTATCAGATTTATTTCATTTGATTATAAAGGCGTATCTCCCAAAGGCCAAGCCTGTACTCCTTCCTTCATGCACTGATGGAATTTAAGGGCTTAAGCTAAAGCGTGTTTATGATTATACGCACCATGAAAATACCTAAGAATTCTATCTGTGTGGGTTACTCAACCCGTAGAGCATGGTTGTCATATAATATTCTGCAGTTTGCCAGTGAGAGCTACTCTATCTTGCATCCTGTACGAACACCCACTCCTCAGTTCTTCTGCAGGGCATACCTCTGCCAGTATACTGTAGGCTTCCTACAGATAGTCTGTCTTCACACTCACTGTCCTCTCCCTAAATGGGAGGCAGCTGACATGGTGATCGTGTCTCATTGCTGGGGGAGCATGCAGCTGCTCGGTAATTATACTTAAAGAACAGACACTGCTTTTCTGTAGTTTTCTTCTCCATGTACTCACAGAGCTAAAGCAATTAAAAACTGTGTTGTGATTCTAGTAGAGTTCAAGAGATAATATTATCCTGGAGTGCAGTCAATACTTTGAGAAATCCATGTGCGTATGAGTGGTTATATTCTTCTGAGCCACAATAGAAACTCTCGCCAGCAGGCAGCAGGCTAGGGCTGAGGAAAGAGCTGCTGGCTCTGGGCTGGCTTCCATCTTCATTGCTGGTGCTTCTCAGACCTGAGCCTTTCTACCTCTTGGGTCACCCCTGTGTTTCTGTGACCCTTGGGAGACTGGAGAGATGGACTGGTGATCCAAAACCAGGAGGCAGGTCCTCCCTGATGGGTTGTAACTCCAAAGTGCATCCGTCTGCCAAGATTTTCCCCCCCAGAGTTAGCCATCCCCTGTTCCAGGGAATACAAGGGAAGCTGCTTGCATTTCAGAAAGCATGCATACCACATGTTTTGAAGCATTTAAAGTTTTATGTAAGTAAGTTATTTTAAAAATAATTTTGTTAATCCTTATACCTTTTAGTTCATTTTCTTTTAATGCGTTCTCAAATTAGAAAAAGCAATTCCATGTCAAGTCACAAGTTTTGGTTTTAGAAGCACAGGTCCCCTATAAAGATGGCCATGAGGGGCCAGGGAGATAGCTCAGTAGAATAAGCACTTTGCCTTGCTATTACAAAGGCCTGAGTTCAATCCCCGGTTCCACCAAAAAATAATAAATAAATAAGTAAAGATGGCCGTGCAGTGTTTAGCATCTCAGGACCTGGTGGGCGGGGCTTGCAGTTCAGGTGACTCCCTCCCAGTGGTCACCCTGCAGTCTGGTAGTGAAGAGGAAGTACTCAGCAGTGCAAGGGCTTGGCTGTCACCTCCTCCTGAGGCCTGAACTGGGACAGGGACTAAACTGATAGGGACAGCTGTGGGAACCTGGATCTGTGGAGGCTTGTGAGTCTGATGCTCAGGCAGTGAGCCTCGGGAGCTCTGCAGCATGGAGACTGACAGCTTCATGGCTGAAACAGCCTTGGCCTGCACTGGAACCAGGCATTTCTGGGTCTGTAACTGCTGGTCTTCGGGGCCACTCTGGGAGCTCTGTAATCTTCACCAAGTCTTCTCCTTCTCACCCCCATGTTGATCAAGAATAGTGCGTACTCCAGGCACCCAGAGGTAGACAGGGCTAGGCACTGACACCCAAGGGACAAAGGAGAAACTTGTCACAACACATCCATGCCTAGTGGGCAAACATGCACCTGCTACTCTTTCCCCGGTTCACTAACCCTTCAAGGGTACTGTAAGGAGTACCAAGTTACCCATAGCTCCTTAGCTCTAGCTCTGAGCACCAGGGCCTGGATAAAAAGAGTGAGCATGAGCCCATGAGTCCTGTGGAAGTTCAGGGACCAGCTACAGATTTATAAAAGCGGGGGGCCCACAGATGGCTGCTCCTCCTCCAGGTACATGCTGGGAAAACTTGCAGTTTCTCAGAAGATAATGTTAGTTCACCAACCTCATGGAGCTGTTAGGAAGAGAATGAAATGCTCTTTAAAAGTCGCAAAGGCTGGGGAGATAACCCAAGGACATAAGTGCGTGCCTGGCAAGCCTAAGGTCCCGAGTTCAATCCCCAGTACAGGAAAAAATAAAATAAAATTAAAATAAAAGTCACAAAGAGGTCTTCTGGTTTTGAGTTTTAATCATCTCATTAATATTAGAAGTATTTTTAAAGGAGCCTTATTTTTTTAAAGCCCCATTAAATAAAACTCAGAGAATTATGGAAGTCACGTGTTCTAAGGCTTTCTCTCCTGCTGATGCTGATGCCTGTAACGTACACTTTGTGGAGATTTCTTCTGACCTTCCTTTCTTTGTTTTCCCCCGTTTTCCTTTTTCATTCCAAGTACAATGAATCCTGTGTCTTTATAAGGAATCATGCAAGAGGCTAAATGAGATTCAGTTTTTACCCAGTATAGTCTCTGCTTTCAAGGAGAGTTCAGTTTAGGACTCATTTTTTTATTCTTTTCATCTTTTTTCCTTTTTTTGTACTAGGGATCAAACTCAGGACCTTGCACTTGCCAGGCAGGCGCTTATGCTGCTGAGCTATCTCCCCAGCCCTCCTTTCATCTTTTTGTTCTCCTGCCTTGTACCTTCCCTCCCTTCCCTCCTTCCCTTCCTCCCTTTCTTCCTTCCATGTTCTCTCTCTCTCTCTTTGTGTGTGTATGATGCTGAGGAGCAGACTTGGGCCCTTGCATGTCCTAGGCAACTGCCTTAGCACTGAACTGTGCCTCAGCCCCGTAGCATGCATTTATTGTGAACGTCTATATAGTAATTAACTTACAGATATGTTGCTCATTAATTAAAAAGCAATTAAAATAATGTATTAAGTAGATATCAGTAGTTATTTTTATTAATTTGTGGTTGAAGAGAATACTTGCTGAGCGGCTTAGAAGCTCGTAGAAGCCTGTCAGAGTGACACTGAATCTTGGGCTCCTAATCGGAGGGCTTCTCTTCCACATTCTTTGTGTCTTTGAGAGGCAGTGCTAAGTTTTTCTTAAGAAGCCTGGGTCCACATGGGTGCCACCCCCCTCTCACCGTGTGACTTGGCCGTGCCACTCACTGTTAGGCTGCCTTAATCTTTTCTGCAGTACAGTAGAATCCCAGTAGCTCCTGTCCTTAGAACTGTTGAAAGGAACGTATGTACTGGCACCTGGTAAGCACAGTTTTTCAGTCCTTGTTACCCTTAAAATTATTTATAGACATTAATTTTTTTCATTATTTAAATCTGCACTTTCCCGTATGGTAGCCACTAACCACATAAGATATCCAGCACGTGCTGCGTGTGGCAGGGCACCCCTATAATCCTAGCACTCTGGAGGCTGAGGCAAGAGGATAGCTGTGAATTCAAGGCCAGCCTGAACTACATAGTGAGACCCTGACTGAGAAAAAAAAAAAAAGATACTGAACACCTAAAATAAGACTAGAAAATACTCAAATACACTGTAAGTGTCAAATCTCATACACGAAATTTCAAAGATCTTTTGTATAAACGAGAATGTTGAATATCCTGTTGATAAATTCATACTGATTGTGTGAAATGATTATTTTTTTAAGCCATTTGGTCAAGGAAATACAGTGTATTATTATGTTACATATGTGACTTGTATTATCTCCCTGTTGAATAATGCTAAGTCAGAGAAGTGTCAGCATGTTTGTGACAATTAAGGGAGAGACATGAGTCTTGTTTGATTTATAGAGTGAAACAGTGACTGTTAGGGAATGCTTTGTGAAAAAATCATTTAGATAACTTTGTGTGAGAACCAACACAAGTAATGCAACTCTAGTTTATTGTTCCACATGTCCATTTAATTTTGTGTTTAACTTCTCAGTAATTATTTGTGTTTTCTTTTAGTGACAAGTTCACTAGATTTTGTCAGTGGAAAAATGTAGAATTAAATATTCACGTGAGTATTCTCTTTTTATTTTTTCTTTCTTAAGTTAAAAATGCTTTGGCTTAATCCCATGAGAAAATATTCCGCAGCATACTCCCCAAGGGTGCACTGCCTAAACAGATGTCTCCGTAGACTGTGTGTTGAAGCCCTGCCTCCGCCCTTGCTCACAGGCGGACAGTGGGGGTTTTAACTGTTTTCACACTGATAAATGAATGTGCTTGTTCATATAAGAAAGGCTATTTTAAGCAGTAATTGATTGACCCTTTCACAAAAATAGTAGTCAAAATATAGATCATCTCCATACAACTTCCAGTCCTTGTCTTTTGCCATTCTTAACAAGTCCTTTTTCTTTTTTACATTATTAGGCATGATAAGAAAAATTGGATAATGATAAAAATAACATCTTTTAGGAGAATAAGCTTTTGTCTTTTTCATTTTGAGAATGAAAAAAGCAGTCTTCAAACGCAGGCTGCTTCCTAGCGCGTTCCCTCCAGTTTCCTGAGCATCGATGCTCCTGGGACGTCATCTTTACCTCCCTGTAGACCACACGTTCCTCATGCAGCTCTTCCGACTCCTTCATCACCTCCCTCCCATATGCTCGCTCGCTCGCAACTGGGGAGAGAATCCCCTGGAGCCATGGAGCCTCCTCCCTTTTTCCTCCCTCCCTTTCCTTCTTTTTATACTTTGAAACAGTACCATTGGAAGAATTTTTTTTAACATCCTTTTAATTCATCTTTCCTGGCAAGACTTAGAAGTAAGAGGCTATCACACACATTTTAAAAATCCCCAACATCCCTCGTGGATCTTCCTGTCTCTGCTTTGTGGGGAGACCTCAGGTGCTTGCAAACTGAGCATCACCAGTGACGTCTGGGGACAAAGCTGGTGCACGTTGTGGTCGGGGAGAAGAAATAAAATAGGTGGAAAAAAGACAAGGAAAGCATGACTTTAAAAACTGTACTTTAAGAGGACCGGAACTTTCGGGCGTCAGCCAGAGTTATCCATGGCTATCCCATGTCAGCATTCTTTACTTAAATTTAGACACTCTTCCTACCACAGCCATCATACTCAAAATTCCTCAAGAATACCAAAAGTCCATAAATTGACTTAATTAAAAAATAAGGAGCAGGAGCCTGATCCAAGATAAAGGAGCAGATTGAACAAACACAAAAAGTATTTAAATTAGTTATTTTTTAAAACCCACCCATCTCTGTAAAATGGGTGAATGTCCCTCTTAGGGGTGGGCCACCTTCTCCTAGGCTTTCCCACCATTTTATATTCTAAACTGTATTTCATCTCATTTCTCTGAGCACTGATATTGACTCTTCAGTGCATCCTAAAATCTTTGCTCATAAATCTTGTCATGCCTCTTACTGCCATGTCCTAAAAATTCTTTTTCCACAATAGGAGTCACTGAACAGAAGAGTGGCTTAAGTTCCTTATTTTAGTATCAGAAATCTCTCAGATCCAATGACAAGGTGACACCCTGTGATGATTCGAGTGTTGAGTGGCGCAGCACCCTTAGAGCCTTCGCCCTGCATTTGCCAGGATACATCAGCAGCAGACATTTGCAACTGTCTGATGGCCTCTTGCCATGGCTGTAAGATTCGCCATCTATCCATGTGCCTTCTAATGCTATTAAAACTACTTATGCGCCAGAGCATTGCTGAATGAGTGATTGCTGAGAAGAGGAAAGTGAAGGAGAGCACTGAGGAATAAAGCCTCTTCCTGTTCTTTGCCTCATGCTCACATGCCCAGCATGAGCCCTGTCTCTTTGCTGATGTTATCAGTAAGGAATTCACATGGCTGGCAGCTGTTGGATTTTCTGATCCACCAGATGTTGTCCTGAAGATACAGATGCCCTTGACCTGGACTCTCCTCTTTCTACCCTGAGAGTTCCTGCAATTGTTGAATTGTTCCCAAGCCGTAGGGCTCAGCATGGCTGAAGGCACTTCTCACTTTGACCAGAAATTCCACACACACTAATACTCTTCAGGCTGCTGCATTCTGAGATTTGCAAGAGTAGAAAGCCAGCAGCTGACTTGGTGCCCACTCTGTGCTCGTCTCCTTTGTCTCCGCTTTGTGCCTCATGTTCCTGCGCTACACAGAGGAGGTTACAGGCAGTCTGACCACCCCTGTGAGTTATACCTTGTAGCTCAAACAGTCAGCTGTGCAAGAGGCCGATTCCCCTCTCCAAGTTGCTCAGATATTTTGCATGAAAACAAACTTTTTAATGATATAACTTTATGTAATTTCATGTTGTCATTTTGCACTTTGACTTCACAGTTGACCATGAATGATTTCAGTGTACACAGGATTATTGGACGAGGAGGATTTGGTGAAGTGTATGGTTGCAGGAAAGCAGACACTGGGAAAATGTAAGCCTTGTCTTTATACATTTTACTAGAACTGTTAATACAATTTATGTTTGTGCCTACAGAAAATTCCTGTGTAGAAGCATGAAAGTCCAGGATGTTTCTCTGGAAATAAGTTATCACAGAAAGAAATAATCTATTTGCTCTTAAGCACATGAATGAGAACAGTAAGCTTGAACCTCATGTCAGGGCTTGTGGGAGTTAACAGTGACCACGGATGGACTGCCCACTTGGCTTGGACTGTGGCAGAAAGCAGGGGCTGAGAGATCAACAAGGTGCAATTCCAAATAGCTGGGAGCCTGTGTGATGTTTGCCTTCTAGTCAGATCACACTGAGGAATTCTTTGTTTTGCACAAGAGAGACATTCTTTTCTAAGTAAAGACCAACCTTTGTGGTTAAGAGTAGGCTTTTGGAGGTTACCTGCATTTCAGGAGAGGTCAGTGCCATGAATTAGTAGTTTGGGTGCTGGAGGTGGGGGGCCCGTGTCTGGCAGCGACCGTGAGCTACATCCTCTCACAGCGATTACCTGTGTGAGGTCAAGGTGTGGACTCCAAGTGCACAGGCACACTGAGGGCATTAAGTCTATAGAGTTTTCCGGGAAGGGTTCCTAAGCATGAGGGAAATTGTTCTTTTTTAATTAGATGTGAACATATTCCTGAAGGCAAAAGAGAGTGGAAGCGTGATTTGGTAGACCCAGAACTACAACTGTGTTTAAGTGACAGATATTTTGAGACAGTAGACAAGGTGGAGTGGTATTTGAAGCATGGTTTATAAGATGATTAAATCATCTAGGATACTTTGAGGTCCCCTGATTCAGGGCCTGCCTCACCCTGCATCCGTTCCCAGTACTGCCAGCAAGTCTTCCCCCAGCTCTGTTTACATGCCTGTCCTTTGTTTTCAGGCAAGGTCTGTAGCTACCATTATTTAGTCTGAAATTGTCCCTCACTGTTTTGGGGCTCTGTGCAAGGGGAGCAGAGAGGCTGGCAGTAAGTTGAAGCCTGGGGTCCTGAGACAGAGCAACCTCCTTCCCAGGGCAAGAGTCAATGACACCAGCAAGGGCAGGGTGGCTGTCTATTTCAGGTGCAGTTTGTGACCTGTGCCTCACATTCTGGTCTGTAGGCGGGAAAATGAGAGTTCTTTGTTGTGAAAATCAAATGAGGTGAGCAGGCTTGGGAACAGCCCTCTCCCATAGTCAGTGCTAGAGCACAAAGCGGGTGTCCACACAGGATCTTCAACCCTTCCCTCTGCCTGAGAAGTTTTTCCTGTTCTATCCTGGCTCAGTGAACTTTGGATCCTAGTTAATATGGTTTACTTGTTGCTTGCTATATCATCATTGAGGCTTTAGTTTTGCTTCATCATTGCAGCTTATGGAAGTACTTACAAGATCTAGTCTGCCATATAATGTTGTATAAGTAAATAATACCAATTGATCTCTTTGTATGAAATTATTATTTTACCTTACCCTCAGAAACCACCAGCATGTGGTGTGTATTCCCTCTTGAACAGGCATGATGGTGCATGCCTTCCACTTGGGAAGCTGAAACAGGAGGATTATTAGAGTCCAGAGGTTTGAGACTGTCCTGGACAGCATAGCAAGATCCTGTCTAACCAGCAGCAGTAAATTCTCCATGTTGGATGGATGAGGTAGAAAGGGTTATCAAGAGACACACAAAAGAAAGCAGTCAGGCACTACCTACCGGTCAGCTTTCCCCATCACTGGGCCAGACTATCTGACACCCACAATTTAAGGAGGAAAGGTCTAATTTGGCTCCTGGTATCTGAGGTTTCAGTTCATGATCTCTGGCTCTAAGGCAGAAATATTGCGGAGGAAGACTGTGCCGGAGCAAAGTGGCTGACATCCCAGCGTCTGGGACACAGAGCACAGAGCAAGAGCAACAGCAGGGGCCACTTCGTCACTGGGCCCCACCCTCCTGCAGCACATGCAGCCTGAATGTCCAGGAATTGAGTACAGCGCCCCCCCATCCAGCCACCCCTAGGAATCTCTTCATCCAGTCAGGAAATCAGGTTTAACTGGCATGCCTTCACCCCTAGAAATCCTTTTTATTCCTCTTTTAAAAAGAAAAATGTATTTAGTACAGAGTCTACAGGGTCTCATTACATAGATCAAACTTGTGATCCTCCTATTTTCAGCCTCCCAAGTGCTGAGATTACAGGCACATACCACCATACCCAGTCTTTTATTTCATTTTTTAAACTTTTTTTTATTAGTACATGTTTGCAATACGTATTGATCACATTCATAAAAGGGAAGTTGTTGTTAATTTTGAGACAGGGTCTTGCTGTGTAGTTTCAGGCTGGCCTTGGATCCTCCTGCCTGAGCTACCAAATGCTGGAGTTACAGGTGCGAAGCGCCACGCCCAGCGGGAATTTGTACCTGCACATAGTATATCTTCATTCTTTGTCACTCCTTTCTCCTCACTTCCCTTTAACTCTTCTTCCTCTCCCATTTACCAAAGCCTTGTTTCCACTTTTTTCCTTCCATTCTTTTTTCTTTTTCCTCAAGGCCATAATCTTAAATTAGACACACAAGTTTAGATATTACATTCTTTTGTGTGAGGAACCCAGAGGGTAAATAAGCATAATGGAGGATAGATACCGGAAAGTTGGAAGAACATGTTCAAATGAAAAGGGAAACAAGGGAACAGCAAGGGGGATGGAGGAAGGGCAAAAGAAAAGAAAACACTCCTAGGAATCCTACTCCGTCCTGCCCGGCTGCAGGCTGCAGACTGCCAGGAAGGTCCTGCATGCGCAGGCTCCACGCCCTCACCCCCAGCTCGGAGAATCACCACTTGCACCCTGGAGCTGCACAGTGGCCCATGACCCAGGCCTGCATGTTCTGTCTGCACTAGTATGGAAACCATCCTGGTAGAGGGTAATACTAGAAGGAGTGTGCAGCCTTTAAAAACTTTCTCATCGTATGGGCCGGCCAAATAACAGATTAAAGCCCCTACAAGCAGGCCCAAGGGCCAGGGGTTCAATCCCCAGGCCTGCCTTGCTGGCCCCACCCCCAGGGGGTGCTGAGATGGCAGTTGGGACTGGGTGTGGTGGTGCTCGCCTGTAATCCCAGCACTTGAGAGGCTGTAAACAGGCAGATCACTAGGAGTCCGATGTAGTAGTGAGACCCTGAACACCCTGTAGCCCCTTCCCTTAAATACAAAAAAATTTTTAAAATCTCATCATAAAAATGAAGTATTTAAATAACATGTCATTTTATATATTCTCAATATTTTATCTCATAATTAAACATGTAAATGTCTTGCTAATTGATTCACTATAAGAATTCCTTAAAAAATGGATAAAATTCCCCAATTTGAACATTTGTCTCTGTTTTTATGTAACATGGATAAGTTGGTTTTTTTTTAAATTTTATTTATTTATTTATTTGTGTGTTTGTGTGTGTGTGTGTGTGTGTGTGTGGCCAGCTCAGCTCACTAGGGGGCGGGGCTGGCTGGCATATGGTGCTGGTATTGAACCGCGGTCCCTGGGCTTTGCTAAGCCTGCTCTAAGTAGGTGCTCTAGACCACTGAGCCATCTCACCAGCCCCCTGGATAAGTTTTGATTAATAAAATGTAAGTGGGTTTTCTGTAGTGCACCGCACTAAGATTCTTTCAGCCTAGGCTTATAAAGTATTTCAACAACTAGAAATTTTTAGTTGCCCACACAGAGTTACCAGTCCTGGAAGAAACTGTAAAGGTATCACATGTATTTCCTATTAGCTTTCTGTGCCAGTTGAAAATCTTAAATTGTCAATTTTAACCAATGATAGATATTAAAATATTTTTTCATTATTTGAAATATAATAAATTACACATCAAAATTAAAAACATATCAATTTAGCATCTTATACTTTGTATGCGCTTATCACTACTTGACTACTAGTGCATTCACAATTCCAACCTCCTACATATGAAATGTAGGACCAGGTTCAATCCCCAGCACCACGTGCTGTGCCAGCCTCACCCCCAGGTGTGCCGAGCCAGCCACTGAGACCGGGCGTGGTGGCACACACCTGTAATGCCAGCTCTGGGGAGGCTGAAAACAGGAGGATCACTACAAGTACGAGCTGTGTAATGAGACCCTGTACCAAATACATAAAAGAGAGAGAGATAGACAGACAGACAGACAGACAGACAGACAGACAGACAGAGAGAGACTGAGATAGAGACTGAGACAGAGAGCCAGAGCCAGAGCGAGAGAGACAGAGATGAAACATAGGCCTCCACTCCCATTAGGCAGGAGCAATAAGCAAAATATTCGTTTCAATAAGTTTATTTATATTCATCTACATGAAATGATAGAAATATAAGTACTACTTCTTTCCCATAGTACATAAACACCTGTATTTCTTATGTGGTGATTGGGTGGCATGTTGTATTTCAATTGTTTTGTTTTTGTTTGTTGCCATGATACAGATTGTACCCAGGGCCTCCCACTGAGCTATAGCTCCAGCCCATTTGTAATTTGTAGTTTAAGACAGGGCCTCTTAAATTATTAGACTGGACTCAAACTCTGGATTGTCCTTCCTAAGACTCCTAGAGTGCTGGGATTATAGGCACGCATACCATATTTGGCTCCATTTTGCTTCTTTTAAATATTGCCCAAATATCTGGGAACTCTCAGCAATGTGGTATATATTGTTTACATCTGTTTGGATGTATTTTTCTATATATCTATACAGTATATATTTTTCTATAATCTTTATGCTTGTAGGTATGCAATGAAATGCTTGGATAAGAAGAGGATCAAGATGAAGCAAGGAGAAACATTAGCCTTAAATGAAAGGATTATGTTATCTCTTGTCAGTACAGGAGTAAGTATCCAGTGTCCAACTTTGCTTTTAAAATTTGTCTACCTTATAGCAGGATGGTGTATTTGTTCCTGCTGATTACAGGGCAGAGCAATTCATAAGTGGGGTAGGATTTGATATCTCCTTGTACTTCTTGTACTTAAAATCAGAAGCTGGCAGAGCCCAGTTGCCTTCGCAGCACACCGTGCCTTTTCCCACAGTGCCTGTGACTTCTTTTCTGCAGGATATGGTAGCTCTATAGTAGCTGAGATGGCAAAAAATAATCACAAAAGAAAAAAATCACTGTAATATAATAGAAGAAAAGTGACTAAATGACAAAGCAGGAGTGATCCTCAGGAAACAGAGAGAGAAGTAGTTCTTGCCTTCCATGAGCACACAGAGAATGGCTTAGGTTGGTCACATCTGAGTGGTTCTGTTAGAGCTGGCCCTTGTCAGTCTTCCCTTTGGACATGGCTTTGTCTTGCCCTCTGCACTTGCCGCTTGGTCCTGCAGTAGACTTTGGTTATTTCCATTCCCAGGACTGCCCTTCTATGTGGTGGGCATTTTGTGTCTGTGTTGAGCTGTCATTTTTAGTGTAGGACTGGTAGAAACAAACTCTTAGCCTGGATCGTCTTTACTTACAAAGCAGCTGCCCATTCGGACTTCTCAGTTTGTGTGCATCATTGTCACTGGGCTCCTGACTTGGGAGCTGAGTGAATTTAATACCGAGTAGCCACACTAACTGCGTTTATACCTGAAGAGATGGGGTGGGTCTAACTCTTACTACTAGATTCCATTGGAGATCATCTTCACCGAGTTGTGGAAAGCATCAAATTGTATTGGCTCACTCAAGAATCTCTTAGCAAACAAGGAACCTGCAGCCCAGCATGATCAATTTGCTTGTCTCCAGCCCCAGACACCCTGGGCAGGGCTCCCTTCATGCTTTGTGAGCCGAGCACTTTGGGTTTATCACCTGTGCTTATTGTGTTACAGTTTGTATTATTCTAGCTTTCATCTTAGAAGAGCTAATTCCTGTCACAGCAGTAGAACAGGATAATCTAGCAGGACTAAAACAAATGAAAGCGCCATGACTATAAATAATTTCTAATTTTGTGCTTCTGCCTCCCAATATATGGATGTTAAACCTTTCACCTTGGAGTCCTTCTGTGTGTGTGACCATGTGTGAGTGCCTGATGGAGGCTGGCACAGTGTGAACGCCCGTAGCTCCCAGCCTCTACTGAAATTGTCTGTGTCTTCAATTTCACACATGCGTGCCTTCACTGAATACTTTACGTAGTTATTACTATGTTAATTTTTATGAGTTATCCCAAGGACTGAATAAGAAAGCCTATGTGAAAATGTATTGGGCCAGCCAAATAGCTCAGCGGATTAAAGCACCTGCAAGCAGACATAGGGGTTGGGGGGGTTGGTTCTGATCCCCAGGCCTGCCTTGCCAGCCCCACCCCCAGGGAGTGCTGAGACTTGAGACTGGACGTGGTGGCATACACCTGTGATCCCAGCTCTTGAGAAGCTGTAAACAGGAGGATCACTAGGAGTCCGATCTAGTAGTGAGACGCTGAACACCCTATAGACCCTTGCTAAAATACAAAAGAAAATATTTTGATGTAGAAAACCAAGGGATAGTTTTCATCTAACATTTTATTTATTTTATTCACATGAAAGAGAATATAGTTAAGCAGTTGTGGGATGATTCTTTACTGGTCTGACCTTAGAGGAAAACGTTTTAAAATGAAATTGTGTTGAACCACTACTTTGAACTAATTTAAAAGATTGTTTCTATTTTTATTTAAATATTGAACCATATGCTATTTTTATTTATTTTTTATTCATTTTGATGAGAAAAAAGATAAACTAGCCATGAAAGTTTCTTTTTTCATTATTAATTTTATTGAGAAAGAAATATTAATAAGACAGTTTCAAAACAGGTCAGTAGGACAGTTACGATAATTAATACATTGCATATTCTTGTCTTCGTAGTAGTTATTCATAGTATAAGACACAGATATGATATCTTGTCTAAACACTTAGTGCAAATCTTTCTTCTCATTGAACTAAGAGAAAATAGCTGTATATCTAAATAACTAATTTGTATATACAGATATGGTTTCTTTTCACTACAAAATGGTCCTTCATTTATATCCCCCTTTTTTGTTTAGTTTTGTCAGAGATGGGTGTTCCATCGCCATTCAAATATTGTAGGTGCGTGAATTCAGCAAAATAATCCAATACAGTCCAGTAGACCATAATAGTAGTGGGTTTTCCGCAGGGATAGCAATGTTAGAAGTTGTTGACTTGAGCCTTTTACAGCTCAGCATATTAATATGGCTTTATGTTTTAGAAACAGTTTCTAAAAAAGGTTAGTAGGGCAGTTACAATATTTACTACATTGCATATTGTTGTGTTTGTAATAGTTATTCAGAGCATATGCTATTTTTAAAATGAATACATACAGAAATAATCTGAAGAGTTAAAGTGAAGTTACTTGGGACTGTTTACTTGCTAATCAAAAGCCACTTTGGGTAGATTTTTAATGCTGCCCCGTTCAAGTTGAGCTCATTAGGCAAAGCTCCGGGACAGCCTAGCTGGGGTCTGGAGCACGAAGGTGCCCTGCACTGTCTCCCACTGATTTCTTCTGCTGGAGGTCTGCCTTTGCTTCCAGCCATTGTCTCCACAGGAATGGCTGTACTGCTTTCTTGTACCAGGCTAGATAATAGAAAGAGAAATGTGCGTGTGTGAGCGAGCGCCAGGAAAGTATCGCGTGGCTGGGAGGAGCACACGGCAAGTTTATGCACAAGGTCCTGGGGCTTCATGGGCTGCACTGCTCAGTGCTTTCCAGAACCACAGTGAGTCCCTGGAGGGTTCAGGCACTTCCGTGTGCTGGGATCCTAGCCCCCCATCCAGCTGCCCAGCAGGGAATGAGGTGATGTCTTAATTCGTTAGCTCAGGAATGCACAGGCAAAGCGCTATGAAAGATTACTGGGGCTTGGGAGGCATCTGCCAGGGAAGAGGTGTATGTCCTGCAGGGCAAGGCTCTTGCTCACTCCCTGCAGGAAATCCAGAGGGACCTTTACACCTGAGAGTGCTCTACAAACCCCAGGGCATGTGCTCACCTTGACCCATGACTGGGTAGGTTGTCCTGACCCAAAGACCATGCTGGGCTGCAGGTTCCTTGCTTTCATTAACCTCAGGCTACAATTTCGTATTGGTCACTGTTGTGGTCTCTTGTCACAGCACCTGTCCAGCACCTGGAAAGAGAAGGAGGGCTGCCCTGTGGGTTGGCAGTGATCCCTGATCCTTCTCCCTTACTGTACTTGTGCTTTACACCATTTGTTGAGAAATACAGTGGGACTTGCGTTACAATAATGGCAGTAGCTTTTATTCTGTAGCTAGAGTCAGAAAAGGAAGCATCAGAGCCCCATTCCCATAATAAGAGGAAGGCTGGGGTGCTTCCTCTGGAGAGTAGGGAGCAGGTGGACTTTGGGGGTTCATGCAGACCAGGAAAGGAGAAAGGGGGCCTGTCCACATGAAGCTCATCTGGGTTGCCCCTGGTGCTCACTGAAATTGGGCTCCTCCCCTCCTATACAAACTGAGGGATAAGCACCCTGTCTGAAGGTGTGGGGTGACTCATAGCAGATGCTTGGGCAGCCATGAGCTTGATCAAGCAGGCATGTCACCGAGGGCAAGGATCATCCTTAAATACAGCCAAGAGCTTTGAGATACAGTGCCCAAGCTTGCTCAGGTGTTGAGAGGTCAAGATTGAAGCCTGGTAAGAAAGAGGCCTGTGTAAAGACTGGCTAGCTCTGGGCCAAGGACAGAGAGCCTAACTATTGCTAAGGAGATGCACCTTGAGGGAAGATTCTGGAGAGAGTGACAACCCGTGGCATTTGCATCTTACTGGCTACCAGCGTTTCATCTCAGGCAAGTTCTTTCCTTTTGGAGGAATCTTAATCTCCTTTAAAATGAAGAAGTTGGGCCGGGTGAGATAGCTCCACAGACCAAGTGTCTGCTTAGGCAAGCCCAGAGACTGGCATTGAATCCCTGGCACCCTGTGCCGCACCAGCCCCACCCCCAGGCACACTGAGCCAGCCACTAAGACCAGGCATGATGGCACATGTCTGTAATCCCAGCTCTGGGGAGAGAGCCAGAGGATCACTATGAGTCCGATGTGTGTAGTAAGACTCTGTACCAAATACATTTAAAAAAAAAAAAAAACTATTCATTTAAAATGAAGAGTTGTGATTTTTTTTCTTGGAAGTGCTCTTCCTACTCAGATAGGAAGCCTGTGAGTTCTAAGTCTAAAATGTATGTCCATCATAGTAGCATGGTACTTTAAGCAGACCTTGACCTTTTGCTGTTGCAACATGTACCATCATGTTCAAAAATTCCCCCGAAGGGTCTCTCTGCCCCCTGGTGATGTGGATGCAGTTGCCAGCTCAAGCTGAGAATGATCTTGGCTTTACTGAGTTTTGGGCCCACTGTTTCTCTGCTCTGTAAGTGAATTATCAGGTCAGGAGCAAGAGCCTATGGGAAGCCCCATTAAGGAAGAGACAGCATCTTCACAGGCTGTCAGAGAGGCCTGGGTGGCACAGGTGGATTCTTAGCAGAAAACACTATTTCTCTTCTTAGACAAAATAAATCTTTTTTTAAAATTATGTTTATGTATTTAGTACAAGGTCTACAGGATCTCACTACACAGATCAGACTCACAGTGATCCTCCATTTTCTGCCTCCCAAGTGCTGGGATTATAGGCTCGCGCCACCGTGCCCAGTCTCAGTCACTGTCTCTGCACTCTAGGGGCAGGGCCGACACTGCACACCTGGGACCAAACCCCCTGTCCCTGTGTCTGCCTAAGCAGGTGCTTTAATCTGCTGAGCTATCTGGCTGGCAACAAAATAAATCTTTAAAAGAAAATTTTACAAAAATTCAGCACATGCTTTCAGTACATAATTATTACATAATTCATTGTGTGGACTGGGTACATGCACATAACATGTCTCAATTCTTCTTTTTCCCCTTCTTTTCTATACCTCCCTTTTTTGCCAGCATTAGATTCACTTATTTATCTTATAAATCCTAATAGAATTCTTATACATACAGATTAACAACTGGACTAATCAGCCAATAAATAATTAAATGAACACATAAAAGTTATACTAAATCAACATACAGTTTTAGATACATTGTTCATACTAAATTACAGTAACCTTTTTCTCTTTTTTCCTATTGTCTGGAGGGTTTTATTTTGATTTTGTTTTTTGTATTTAAGACAGGGTGTACAGGGTGTACAGAGTCTCACTGCATAGCTCGGACTCGTAGTGATCCTCCTGTTTACAGCCTCCCAAGTGCTGGGATTACAGGCGCACCACCACCATGCCCAGTCTCAGTCACTGTCTCAGTGCACCCTGGAGGTGGGGCAGCACGGCAGGCCCGGGGTGTAACTCCCGGGCCCTGCAGCTGCCTAAGTTGGCACTTTAATCCTTAGCCGGCCCTATTACCTGTATTTTAGGCAAAATAAGCCTTGAAATCAGTACATACTAACACTATCTCAACTAGCAGTAGAACCTAAAGGAAAGCTAAGTAAACACAAAATGAATTTTGTAATCCATTGGAGCAAATTTCTCTGGAAGATTTATGGAAATTGAGCTCCTGCTCTATTAATCTTTATTATACAGAAAAGTATTAACTCCATATTACCCTTAACATGGAGATTTGAATAGTGCAAATTCTTTATAGAGATTATTCTGTAGAAAGTTGAGTGTTTTCTTTGGAACTTGCTGTGTCTATTCAGAAAGTGGATAGAGAGTATGTGCCATTCAGCTTGAGGCACTCTAGTGGCACTTACACTCTGTATGTAAAGCGTCTCAGCAGATGTAGCAATAGGTTGAGCAGTGTTAACGGTGCTCCCGAAGTCCCCCGGCTCCCCTCCCCGTCACCAGCCAACCCATAGCCAAGGCAGCCACGCTCCAGGTTGCCAACACCATGCTTGAGCTGTGCTAATTTTGTTTGAATTGTGTCTGAAAGTTCTCTTTTGTGTCCCGTGCTCTCATGGTGTCCAGCGTGAGATGCATCTGGGAGACTGCTCACAGTGGCCACTCATTCTGATAGCTGAGGACCAGGCAGCAACGAGCCCCTTGTGGCCCTGGGCCCAGCTGTAGCTTGTGGCCTTATATTGTACAGCCTCTGAGCTAAAAATAGTTTAAAGGATCATAAGGGAAATAAGCAAGGAATAGATGTATGAGTCTGCATGTGGCCTGCAAAGCCTAAAGTACCTGCTATTGAACCCTTTTCACATGGTGACCCCTGTCCCATAGCATTCTAATGTATAAATGTACTGCCTCAGCTCACTTGTCCTGCTCTTGACGGGCATCCCGCACTGCTGCACAGGTGTCTTGGTACAGTAGATTGCAGGTGTGCTAGGCAGCTACCCTGAAGCGGGGTTCCTAGGGCTCAGGGTTTGTCTTGGAACGTACCATCAAATGGCAAGCTGGGGCATTGGGTACTGCCGCACACAGTTCTGTCCATCTGTGGAAGATCCTTCACTGCAGACCTTTCTAGCACTTGGCAGTGTCTCTGAAAGTGGGCTGCTTCTGTGTGTTTCACTGATAGCAGGGATGGCTTTGGCTTGCATTTCTTTGGAGACCACTGAGTTTAAGCTCAGAGGCTCGTGGGCCTTTTGGTATGCTCTTGCATGAAATGCCTCCTTAGCAAATGAATCACTGTGCCATGTTTCCATTGGCTTATTTGCTTTTTTCTTTTACTGGTTTGTAAGAATTCTTTATATGTTGTAAGCATGAATCCTTTGCTTATTTGCAAATTACAGATAACCTTTCCTATGCTGTTGTATGACTTTTTTTATGCTTTCTGCTCAACGGAAGTTCTTAATTTTATTATAGCCAAGCCTGTTTAAGAAATCCATATCTAGAGTTGGCTGGCGGCGGTTGCGCGGTTGCGGCGCTGTGAGGTCTG